AATTCTAGAAACGTTGCGTCACGTGGTCATGTGACTCGCTGACGCAACAATATTTTACTATTCATTTCAGAAGTTTATCAGTAGAAATAGTAATTAGTCATAATCGATTTTTAAAATATTTGTACTATATACGACTGTACTTATAATATATAATACATATTGGTAAACTGCATTTGAAACCAAGGATGACTTTAATCTTTGCACTCTTAACACCAGAACTTTACTCCAAACAGGGACAATGTGAAGATAATGATAATTTAAATAAATAAGTTGCACTTTTCAAAACAATTTTCATCTTAAAAAATCAAACAAGTAGTTTATAAGAATAAATAAATTATAATAATCTTCATGAAATTTCTGCAAAAGAAAAGAAACTTTATAACAAAAATAGTGGTATTTTAACTATCCGATAGATGGCGAGTAAATACCATAAGCAACATCTAAACTTGCTCTATTTCTTCTTTTACTTATATAAAGAGCAACACATTTCATATTTCGTGGCAATTAAATCAAACTAAACGCAAACAGCTTAGCAAGGTCAGTTACTTTTATCGCTTTTATTTGTTCGTAAATTTCTACAACATTGAATTAATGAAATGGTCCCAAAAGGAATATTTGAAATACTTCCCGACTACTTCATACACGTAAAAAAAAGAAAGAAGAATATGAATAGAAACACATCTTGGAACTGTGCTACAGAAAACAAGTTCGTATTTTTCGAAACAGGAGGGTCTTAGTTTTATGTTGACAGTCGTTTTTTTGTTGCCAAAATCTTACATGACTGAGATTTAATCCATAATATACTGTACACACATCTTTGATTTCTCAACATGCCTTGGTAGAAAAACGCAGATAAGCACGTTTTATTTCACCTGAGTGTGTTCCCTCGTAGCTAGATGAATAAAACAAAAGACTTGCAGGGATAATGGATGTCATTGAGCTTGGTATGGCATGGTGGTTAGGGTGCTTGACTCACAATCTGAGGGTTGTAATTTTGGCTCCCCGTCACTGAATCATCAGCCGTCCCCCAAAGTGGGGTGGTGGTGGTGGGTGGGGGGGGGGTATATAATCGATTTACAGATTAACAAAATCATGACTTTGTATATTATGTGGATGTAAAAATTATTTAACTGAATATACACAAACAAAGCGAGACTTGTTAGGTCAGCTCGATGTGTGTGTTATATACCCACAAAGTAGACTGTTTTTTTTCCTCAGTTGGCTACATAACCACAATTTGTCCCATGCGAAACTTTTTGCAAACAATAAAGCTTCACACTATATAATTCAGCTCAATAAAATGGAGAAACTGAAAACTCCAAACCTTTGATGATAACACGATATTACTTGCCAAAAACACATGCTTCAGGTCACTCTGTCTACAAAACGATACAACAGTGACTAAACCGACATCTCGAGCCATTAGTAGAAAACTACTATGCAACGAAAGTCCTCGCGTAGACTATGCTTTCAAGTCATTGAACGAAAGTCCTCACGTAGACTATGCTTTCAAGTCATTGAACGAAAGTTCTCACGTAGACTATGCTCCCAAGTCATTGTAAATGTGAATTGTGCCCACTGCCTTTGTGTTACTAGTTCATTTAATGATAAAAGGTTTTTGGATTTTCTTTATGTGAACACGCTATTCTATCTGTTAAACTACTACCAACCGGAAATAGTAAAAAAGGTTTTTCAAGCTTATAATCGGTCGTTAACAGACTCACACGTCACACCAACTTATTAGCCCAAAAATCTTTTAACATCGATTCACCGAGCCAACTTATTAGTTTAACACACTTATATAAACAGATTTCCACCTAATATTTCATCATCATTCATACTTCCACGTATTTCCATTTCCTTAAAATCAATCATACACCTAATATTTCATCATCATTCATGAAAGTCCTCACATAGACTATGCTCCCAAGTCATTGAACGAAAGTCCTCACGTAGACAATGCTCCCAAGTCATTGTAAATGTGAATTGAGATTTTGCATATTTGGATGATAATTAGGAACAATGTTTTTCAACAAAGGATAAAACAAAAGACAACGTCAACCATGAGCATCAACCTCAGTCTATATATGTTACTGAACACATAACATAATGACTTCAAATTTCAACCTAAAACAGGTATCTACAACTGACAGTTGCCGTCCATTTAGTCTTATCATGAATACTCTGCCTAAGCCAGTGGTTATTAACCTTTTTTGCTCCATGCCTCACCTCGACACCTCAAAAAATTTGATGCCCCCCTTAATATAAAAACAAATTTGGGGTTGAAAAGGTTTAATAATATAATGTAAAATTTACCAAAATTTCACACCCAAATGAAAAAATTTTCTAATTGTAGCATTTTCAAATTGCCCCCCCCCCCGTGGGGTGCTCAGAATCACTGGCCTAAACAAACTATCAAAGAAAGATAATTTATCAATTCGAAAAAAAAGGGGGTATCAAAAATTGCATTTCTTGCGATAGAAGGAAAGTAAAATAAAAAGATAGCTTACATGAAATGTTTGGTAATTCTTGGATAGTTCGTATATTGTAAATAAATGTCATGTTTATATTTAGATACACGAGTACCAAAATGTAAACATTTACCACGTGTTTCATCGCTACTCTATTACAAACACGTACACGCATACGCACTATTTTCTCTGGAACCAAAGTCTGTAGTCGGTTTGCGTGTTCTTTTCTCAGGAAAAAAATCAATTGATTCTTGTGGAAACAATAACACAGGTACAGATGTGTGTGTGTATTAGTTACGCGTTCGTGCTTGTTAGTAGTATTTCACTCAATATACAGGTAAATAAAATTTATGTAAACTGACCACGCCTACGCAGGAGATGACATTTTTTACTGATCTGATGTAAGGCTCATTGAACTTTACAGCCTGGAGCATAATAATTAACATGAATCTAAATATTAAGATAACAAACTGTATGTTGAAGAGAACGAGTTTGATTGTTTGTTTTATTAGCAAAACAGCATCGGATTACCTGCTGCGTCCACCGCGAGGAATCGAACCCCGGATTTTGCCGTTGTAAGTCCGTAAACTTAGCACTGTTCAACTGGGGGACAAGGTGAACGAGTTTCATGTTGCAATGCCTCGGGGTGTTAAAATTAACATAACAGCATACAGTCGTGTGAACAGGTAAGAATGCAGCAAGATGACATATTAAAAGAGATTATACAAGCGAAAATTCATTTGTATCGTTTAGGTTAAGTCAAGTAGCATCTTCATGTTTATACATTTGTTACATTATTTTTGACGTGTTGTATCCAGATATGCGTGCCACTGTTCAACTTTCTGCATGTACAAATACGATATTATATACGAGTTGAAGTTGTAATATCTTATAGGTGTTAGTGGAGACTACATGTGAAATATATATGTACAGGTTTATTTCATTATGTCAAAGTATAAATAATGCTCTATGTTTATGTGTGGCGCAGTAGTTACTGTGTGTATGAAACACAATAGGTTCACGCTAGAGAAATGTAGTTATTCGCGAGCGAAGACTGTGGCTTCTAGGGTGAATGTGTTCTCAAGTGACTAAACATCCCAATTCGAGAGTTACATTTTTTTGGAACACCTTTAGCGGATAGTGCTCAGAGGAAGACGTTGTCGCAAAGAAGGTTTGGCTTCTTTCTCTTTCCTCTTCTGTCGTTTCTGTTTGTCGTTTTCCCGTCGA